GAGATCGATAACTTTACTAACAAGATTATACTGTCGCTCTAATAAATATTGCTAATATGTTTGGCAATAGAATACGATGTAGGTAAGCTGAAGATAAACGATACATCACTTGTGTGTAACATGGATAGACAAGCGCAGCGGCACTCTTTGGTGGGACATAGTACTATTCAAACGAAGTGTAATTTTGTCACTAAACTGAAGTACTGGTTTACAATTCTTTTCATAACTTAACACAATTATATACGCCACGCGGTACAATAGTTTCCACAGAACATTGTTGACATGTGGAATATCAGTTACTAGAAACAGCAACAGGAAGCGGGCAAAGCAAACACATTGTTTTAGGAAACCGCACTAATTGGGGCATAGATTGTTGAGGGATATCCAATATGGTACAGATCGGAAAATGAACAATAGACCATAACATATATGTACATATAAATGGCATCATCTATATAATTGTGAAGATAGTTACTGTCTGTCTAATTTACAAATTAGGGTTGACATACACTGGCGAATCTAGCCGTGGCTTAAGTGAAAATGAGGACCAGGACTGGTCCGTGGTACATGGCTGGCCAAGGTGGACTTGAAGGTCAACCTACGGTCTCGGAGGGGTTGCGAACGATAATAAGTGTTGGGGCGACTCCCACATAATCCTAAATTGCGGATAAAAGGCTCAATATGCACTGACAACATCAAACGGTCGGCGTTCGGCAATCATTAGTTAATGTTCGTCAAACAAAGACTACAGTTTGGAGTCGCTGCTAATAAATGTTGCACGCTGCACTTCGACAGCTTGTAGCTGTTGACGAATAGAAATCCAAAGGTCACATACGTTTTATAGTTATTTTTTCTCCACTGTCTACATCTAATGTATTCTCAGACTGTGGTCAAAAAACATAATTATTTTAGATTTAAAATACGTGCACTCGGATCTTAATTCAAAGGTTATTCAAAACAAACTAGATCATTGAGAGATGAGACTTTTATTTAATCTATTATATGTACGTTGAACAACAAAATTACTTTAATGTATACGTGTTGCAAAAGGGGTTACAATTATAGCAAAAGCAAGCCAAGAGTTTGCGTTTGCGAGTTTGATAACAAACTGGAGTGTAATTAGTTACATAAGTACTAACATTTATTTTTGAATCAGCTGATTGTTAAGCATCTTTACGATGTGGCGATCTTTATCGTTACAACATTGAGATAATAGTCTCTATGTATGTACATACATTCAATGTTTTCGGGGTATCGCTATTCTGATAAAAGTATTTACTTTGAAAATGCAATGAACAGATAGTATATCAGCAGTGTATGACTTCATATTTTATTATTGTATCAATTTTACGTACTAAGTGACGGATGGATAGCGTGAAGGACATCGTAATGAAGGAAGTGGACACTGAAATGACGGATATTTTCGATGTCGAAAAATGTTATGCTGGCACTATAATATCGAGTGAAAAAATTGTAAAATTTTGTGTACAGTCAAAGAATTAAATGTCGAATTAGAGTTTTAATTTAACGCGTATACTAGCAAAATATGTGACCCGGTGGGCATAATTTAAATTAAACTTTTATAGCGCCCTTCTATGCCATTTTCAGTATTTATTTAGGTTTTACATATTTTCTGTTAGAATCAACAGATAGTAGCGTTTCATTTATCGAGTTAGACAACCTTGTTTGACTATGTGTATGTTGCTGGACAGGTTTTCGACCTAATTGCATTGTGAGCGTCCAATGACATTTTACTGAAACGGAGAGGAAAAAATAATAGAGGATTGACGTCTATCCGTTATTATATTAAACAAAAACAGTTTTTGTATTCAATGCGGGTTTTTTATGAAAATAAATGCACATTTAAAATAAATGCATATCTAGTTTTAAGGATAATTTCAACCATTTTAATTAATAGTAAGTAACAAAGTAATCGTCAGCAATAGATAATTCCATCCGGATATTATTCGATAGTTATATATCTACATGTGTGTCATGCGCTAACATCAAGTATAACATGATTTGATTGCAGTAGGCAGTAGTTAGGTATTCAATGCATAGACATGTTGCTAGGAAATTTAAATTTAGTATACAAAAATTGTCACCCGAAAGTAATATGAGTTTATCGAGAGTATCTTTTGCTTTGCAATTTAAGGTCCTGTCATTTCTAGTTCGCACTCTGACAAAAATACTAATTAAATGGAAATAAACCTTTACTACGTGTGTTTAAAATAATTTTTTTTACATCCGCGTATTATTTTGTCGATTTCTGAGTGATTCAGTGGTTTTTATAAGAATTTTAGCGCTGAATATATCACTTGAATGTATGCTGCGAGAAAATTCACGTAGTACATGTGAGTCAATCGCAGTCGTGACATGTTGTATGAGACATGTTCATGTTTACGATTTACAAATAATCGAGTGTGCGCTGTTCATTACTTTGATGTTACAAGTGAATGAAGTAGATCATGATATATTGTTTTTCTGTTTTAGACACATGTGTTCGATCTACTACTTTTGTATGAAATTAGACGAAAAGGATTTGTACTAAGCGAGTAATATTGTAGAGAAACGTATATCGCTGTACTGAACTTGATCTTGATTCGAATTCCGGGAATATCCTTTGAATCAAATGCAACGTAATGGTATGATCATATAAGACGCAGATTGGAGCGTTCTCATACTAATCCGATTTAGTGTTGATTGCACAGGTTCGGAAGCGAGACAATAATCCGTCCATGTTTAAAATAAACCGTTATTAATTGAATTTCCGCTTTGTGCTCCTTCATGTATGCAGACTAATTAAAATGATCGGTCAATTGTGAAACAAGCGTCGTGCGGGTGGGACTTGGTTGACGAGCATAATGCGGACCTTAACACTAATGCAAAAGTTTATCGCATGCGGGCGCTATGGCATGCTTGATAGAAAATCTCTCGCAACACGCGTGCTGTATAACGACAGAGTTATCGATTATCGAAAATGCCCTTTTAGAGTATTTCTTATGTATATGTTCAAAACACAATATATAAAAATAAAATAATTGCTTGCACGAATATTCCGATAAAAATAAAGGATCTGAACCAAAAGCATGCTGAAGTTTTACGTAATGAGTGAAAGTTAGGTGCTGGAATTTGAAACTTACTTATTCCTCAATCGCCTCTTTTTCTCGTCTAATATTTCCGTTGTTTAAAACAAAAAAACTACCAGAACATCAAACACTATGTATAATATGAACCGCTTTAACGCATGCTTCACGGTCATTTTCCTTAAACATCTTCGTTTATTCTGGAATGTATAATTAGATTCACTATCCTTATCATCTAGGTCATCGTTATATTGTAGATCCCAAAGTTTCCAGCAACAGCGGAACCCAATTATCGAACTCGATTAAATTCTGCTTCTAGGGTATTCATATTTAATATATTAAATAATTAATTTCGAAAATATATCTGAGGATTGAAATAGCAATCTCATCATTCGTATGGGCAAGATATCAATCTTTCAATAATCTTCATTTATCCGTCCCTCTTAAACACAGTACTAGAAAAACTGTTGGATCGATCTTTCGGGGGGTTTATTGAGTTCTGCCGTACGACAAAACCTAAATCCTTTCAATATTAAACTTTATTTTATTAACATAAGTTCCAAGTCTATTACCGTAATGAATCAGTACTGTATCAATAATGAGTCATTTTAAATTATTGATGCAAAGTTAAATTATGTATGTGAGTTATTTATAAGTGACTCAGTCACAAATCTAAACCGATTGAGGAAAAGCAAATAGTGTATGGCCGGAGCGAGCACATTGATTTAAATTATATTACGGTTGACAATTTAAAATACAGAAATTGAAATGTCTAAGAATATGATAAAAGTATTTTAACACAACAATTGCTGTTTTACGTATGTAAATGAATAACGAAAAATTATATTAACAACTAGCTGGTGCCCGCGACTTCGTAGGTAAATAAATAGGTAGCCTATAATATGCCCGTCTATGTCAGTTACCCTTCAGTGAAAGTCCGGTCGAAATCGAAGGAAGAATCGATCGATCGAAGTTTCGGTGATTACCCAGAACAAACGCGGCTTGCGAATAGACAAACAAAAATGTTTAAACGCGAAAACTGTTTTTTTTTTTTAAATATCACTCCAATTTTATTATAGGTATAGATAGATAGATAGATAGATATAGACAATAGATAAAAGATCAAAGCTTATTACGAACACAGATCTAACGCATTCCTAGCTATTTGTATCTTCCGCCATCTCTAAGTAACTTAAGCAGGCATTATTCAGAAAATCCGTATGCTTCTCGAGAAAGTTTTAAATCTCACAAAGAATTAAAGTTGTACCTTTCAAAACAAAATTCAATGTTGCAGACGGTTTTAAATGCAGCGCTTTTGTAATTTGCCCAGACGAATGTATAAAGTCGCAAGATTTCAATTTAAAGTACACTAAGTGATAAAAAATAGTAAGTCACTTTTTAAGTATATTTGTTCGATGTTCAATTGGTAGACTCTTTATAATTTGCAAAATGAAAACGAACGGCTTTCACAATCGATTGGTGACATAGATATTTAAAGCAAATATTTTATACTAAATCATTACAGACTTATTAAAATATATTAATTTGACTAGAATATGTAGTATTAACGTTAGTAAAGTTAAAAGTTTTCACAAGAGAATGAAATATACAGAGCTTTGTTCTTCGTTGTGCACGAAATCGAGTTACTCAAGCCGATGTTGACCTCAGTTATTAAGTTAACTAGGCGAGCCGGGGTGTTTTAACTCCATTGAAGTAACTTTTTAATTCCATGTTTGTCACCGTAACTTTGTAAACAATTTTTATTTGTATATTTTATAACGGTATTTTATCACACACGCATATGAATGTTACTTAAAAAAAATAATTCCGATTAATACGACGATAGTTACACCTTTCGACATATGTCGGGTCTAATTGAACGACATTGTAATTATAGGTAAAAATAAAAATCAATAATCAGTAAAGAAATTTATTTAATCATCGCCGTATTCCAGTACGCTATAATGACCTGCATCAAAACATCCCGAAAATAATAGGTGTTTAATTACTCTACCTCTTCCATAATCTATTGTTCTATTGCTCATGTTGACGTGTACCTTAAATGTGTAGTCATTGTATAGTTCGCTTGCGCAGTGTATTTCCACATGCCCGCCGTATTGACCATCTCTGGACATTAATCTTTGATAATCCGAAGAACTCATTATAGTTAAACTGTACGATGTGTCGCCGATTATAAAGTTTTTATATCTATTCCATTCACTAACAACTCTATTAACGACGTTCAACCGTATTTCTCGATGTCTTTCTTGATTATTGTATACGCAATAAGAAATCGATCTGAACAGACAATTTCCGTCACCATAAATCGATATTACTCTCGGTGACATATTCTTTCATTAAGCCAAACTTTTTACTGTTACAAAAATGTCAGTTGAGACTTGTCAAAGCTTTAATAAATCATGGCGTCCGAAATCTTATCTGTCAAAAAAAAGATCGATTTATTAATACTTTTCTTTTCCACTCGTCCCTTGTTAAAATAATTATAACAGTTAAAGACTAAAATAAAAAATAGAAAAAAATAACAGACGTCTCACCTTAAATTTTGAAGTTCGAAATCACGCTTTTGAAATTTTATCTTTGTCCTGTCAAAATATATTTTTTCTCTATAACTAAAACCTTTTTAAAGTTTTGTATTTTGAATACTTGTCCAATTAAATATTAATTAATAAACAAGTACGTATGAATTGTAATTGGCAAAGAAATGCGACGATCGTTGAATTGATTGAATTCAATTAGTGATTCACATTGAGTGCAGAAGCGGAAGAAGGTATTACACATAACGTATCATAAGACGATGCAATTTGCGTGATTGGCGTGGAGAGAGCGCCGACTCCTTGACAATTTTATTGAATACAAGATTAAATTAAAGCCCGAATACGTACTCATAGGTACTCCAAGGAGAGATGGCATCTATATACATAATCATAACGCAAAATATGCAATTTTGCAGAAGAGCCATTTCAGTGTACGTTAATAAAATGGAAATGTCAACTAAGACCACATACTACGTTACGTACAATATTACACGGTTCAGTAATAATGCTTTCTATATAATCTGTAAGATTTATTATGTAGAAGTAAGTGACTGCTTACCTTTGTGTGTGCATACAAAGTTTCTCTGGACACATTGCTTTATATCCCGGGGGAAAAGTTTGACTTGAATATTCCAAGGATATTTGGCTGCTCGCAAATTAAAATACATGAGTATAACTATACCAAAAATGTAAAATATAAAGAATGTAAAAAAAATGAAATAATGTCATAGTCTAAGCGAAAAGTTTTATGGGAAATGGGAAACGTTTTTTTAATTATTGGGAGATACTTTTCTATGAGGCGTCAGATCATCCTGTCGAAGAATCCAGGAACTTTAATTTGTAGTTTTGATAAATACTTTTCGTGCAGTACTGCCTAATATATTTTAAACAAAAATCAAACAAAAATGTAGGTGAAAAAGTGGAGCAGATTAAATAGTTGCAATCTTTATATACTTTATTAAATTGGATTCGCGTTATATATGTAAAATAATTTATTTATTCACTTGTGTTTATGTATATTTAGTCCGAATTGATTACACAATCACGAGTGAACGAACCGGACGATGGTCAATGTCACAATGAATTAGCACCGCGATGATAGCAAAGAGATTTGAGATATTTTTGGCGTAAGTTATAAGAACTAGCGGAAAAATTAAGGAGATAACCAACTCCTATGAAATTGCTGATTACACAATGATTAAAAGAAATGAGCGCTTGACTAATTCCAGCAATTACGTCACAGAGGCACTCTAAAAAATTGAATAATGTTTATGTCTGTAAAACAGAAGAGTGACTCTTGTCAGTTGTATTAAGCTTTTAAATTGGACCACGAAATTTAATTTACGGACAGATTACTATAGAATGGTCGTATCACTAAAAATAAGAATGAGCAGTTCGCTGTGATTCAAACTGGTTGTCTGCTATCTCTTTCTCTGGCTCTGTTATGAAAAAGATAGAAGGCATATTATTAAGGGTACGTGAGACACGTCCTACGCTTAAGAGTTGAGTAACATTTCGGATGAATCATAACGATGTGTTGGTGATTCTTTTATTTTTGTTAAAATAATGAAACCAACAAAACGTACTCTCTCACTGCTCAAAAACTACCTCTAGTACTAATAGTAAAAGTTGCCATGTCATTGGATTTTTCAGTATGATTCACTTTTCTGTCAAACAATATTATGTTAACCTTACGACCTTTTATACTGTTCATTGGATTGTAAAAAAAAATAGACGCTCTTTTTATAGAGAACATGAAGCTGCTATGACAAGAGTATACACTTGTCCTCTTTGATATTTTCCATATCGTCAGTTCGATGTTAATTACTATGAAAGTGTTTATATATTTTTTAATTTACGTTAAAGATAAATTATAACACATTCCAACTATTATCTCATGTTTGAATAATTTTAAATATAACGTTCATCGGTTTGCCGTCACTTTATTTATATTCCAAGGTGAACGTTAAAGATATACTTAACTAATATAAAAAACCTTCTTATAATTGGTAGTGTTTTATCAGTTTTATATTTGCAACTTTTAGTAATGATTATTTCCAGTTAAATGATACTTTTTAAAACATCAGTTTTTTTTTCAAGAATTCCACTCCACGATTTGCAAGGTTCCATAGATTTAAAAAATATGCTTTGAGTCATTTATAAATATAAATATAGAAAAATGTTGTATATAGCATTTATATATTCGCAATTCTTCACTGTGCAAAAGGAATTCTACGTTTTAATTTAGCTGCTGAATTTTTTTCTAATTAAGTAAGCAAGTTGTTGATTTTAAAACTTATTGCGGTGTATCCAATCTCACTTTGCCGCCTTTAGGATAAACAAGTTTTTCTCTAAGTGGAAAACGTTTCGAAACCGCTTTGGATCTCGTAAACTCTGTGGTTTGCTTTTAGATCGTTTTTTATAGTAGTCCAGTAGCATATTTATTTTTCCTTTTTTAATTTCCTTACGTTCCAACTTAACTAACTAAAATCCGAAATAGGTTTATGACAATAAATGTGTTAGCATTTTCTTCTATGAAACTGATCTCAGTTGTTAAGTTACCTCCATTGAAGTGAGCTCTATGCGATTTGATCATATAAAAGACAATCTTTTAAGATGCTATTGTGAACGTCAGACTGATTCGATTTAATCAATTTTGCTACAAGGTACAAGCTTTATAAGATCAGCTCGTATTCTTCGTAAGTAGCTTTATATGACAGAATGGAGAATGATGGAAAATATTAGATAGAGTACATTTTTAAAACCTCCTATCTCAAGATAGGATCCTATCTATACATACAAATTAAACTACCCGCATTAGGCCTGCACGTCTATACTTTTCACGCAGCAAAGTACCTCTATACTTTTCACGCAGCAAAGAACCTCGTCTCACGTCTGTTAAGCTTTTGGACAGCCCAATAACCTGGGAAGACCAAGTTAAATACTTAGGTGTTATCCTTGACACAAGACTCAACTTCTCCGCACACGTGACCCGGGTTAGGAACCGCGCGGCTTTCATCTTAGGTCGTCTTTCCGCGTTAATTAATAAAAAGAGCAAAATGTCCCTTCGGAATAAGGTGACACTCTATAAATCTGTAGTGCGTCCCGTCATGACGTATGCTAGCCCGGTATTCGCGCACATCTCGCCGAAACAAATACACCGACTTCAGGTGATTCAAAATAGATTCATGCGCAGAGCCACGGGGGCCCCGTGGTACATGCGCAATAGTGATCTTCACATCGACTTGGACTTACCCACCATAGCCCAACACCTGAAGCAGGCGTCGCGTCGTTATTTTGACTCTGCCGTCGGTCATCCTAATTCGTTAGTTGTAGGTGCCGCCACCTACAACCCAATCGCGCTCGGTAAATTTCGACGTGATCATCGCAGACCTAGGCACGTTCTTGACTTTCAAGACGATGCAACAACAATCGCTCAGGCTAGGATTAAACAACTACGACAGACAAAACGCCGTAGTCGCTGTCGACTACGGCAATCATTCCCGATATACGGCCTCATAGCAGGCAGGTTCTCTCCTATCAATGATAGAAGCGTTGCTGGAGTTTCTTCCGCCACTTCTTCTCCCAGCGCTAACGCTTTCCGAAGTGTTAGTAATGTTAGATGTATTTATAATTATAATAATGATCAGATAGCAGCAACCGATCAAGTCGAGGTTCGGCCCTCTCGGGCGCCCTTGAATCGGAATGCTAAACGCGTATTGAGTGACAGCCCAAGCCGAGGTCCCCTCTCGGGGACCCTTGTGCTAAGTCACTCCATGGAGCGACCACCGAAGCGATCTAAGAGCTCGGTGGCCTCCCAATCCGGTAATAATAACGAAGTAACGGCCCGAGCCGAGGCTCCTGAGGGAGCCCTCGAGCCTAGTTACTCATAAAAGAGGTTTAGGCTAAGCGCCATCCGCGCTGAGCCACCTCAAGCCCGGTGAATCTGTAAATGCCTCTTCAAGGCAAACAGTGACAAATCAGTCACAAAAAAAAAATAGGCCTGCGCGGTTGACTATTGCTATCACTCCTAACTAAGGGTAGGCTCTGATACCTACAGTCGGATGAATACTGATACCATGTTCTATTCCATACTACTACAAATATCTTTTTTGTAACCTGTGACCATTATAAATATGTTAAAAATTTGTACAATGACAAATTCCAAGGTAAAGATCTCAAAGATAAGTGTTAACATTCTGAGGTGGAAAGCACCTCGAGTGTTCGAAGTATTTGCAGTCACTCAAAGGCGTTATATTCTCTTATGAGCAGGTAACATGATATTCGTTTGCTTAAAATAATTTATTTGCCGTAATATAATCTACTATAGGACAGAGAATTATTAGTTAAAAATACGTTTTTCATATTGAAATAACTAAGAATATCGCTCTAATTTATTAAGAGATCATATTATAAGACGAGTAGAGAATGTAAATTTCATATCGTCTGCCCTTAATAATATTTTTTGTGTGTGTTTTCTTTGTTATCACTAGAGTTGAACAAACTAATGTTTAATTTCATAGCATTTAAATTTTAACCTTATAAATATTTAGATTTCACAACCCTATTTACATAGAGTTGTTGGAAAGTCAAGAAAAATATTGTATTTTTTTCGCAGAGGTACCTCGGATATTATCAACCGCTCATTTGCGGATTGATTTTTTCTTCCTTCCTTTGCAATTCAGGCGAGAAAATTCTCGGTTATTTTCCAGTTTTAGAATATTCGAGATTAGAAAGAGAGAACTTTGATGTTTTTTTATTCCTGGAAGCTATGTGGAATCGTAATAAATTAATTGTTAATGGCTGTTAAATTATACAAAAAATGGAAATAATCTATAAGTAGCAATCACTAATCATAGCTCACCAAATTATAAATCTGTATTTTTTTTAAAAAGCTCTATTTTTTTCGTGCACGAAGATAAAAATCTATTTTTTATAGTATACTCCGCGTTTTAATCTCGTAGATTATTTAGTTTGGATAAACCGAGATAAAACACCAAATCTAATTACATTTTGATCCAGGAAGATACGATATCGTTTGGTTTG